TATATATATGTGGGTGTGTGTATATAGTATAGGTATGCATATATGTATGCATATAGTATAGGTATATATATATATATATATATAAATATATTAAATACACACACACACACACACACACACACACACACACATATATATATATATATATATATATGTGTGTGTGCGTGCGTGTATGTGTGTGCGTATATATATATATATATATATATACTCTGTGTGTGTTTTTCTAATGCAAATATATGAGAATATGTGATCAAATCCACGTACATGCTTATTGATCATATTCATATATTCTACATATGCATTTGCCATGTTTGCCTATAATTCTACATATAGATGTGTACTTTGTACTGCACATGCTCGGGTAAACTTGAGTTCAATTTTTAAATTTGCTATGTGAAATATTACCAATGAAGTTGAAAACAATCAAACGACAAATATAGTACTCATAGACATGGACTCTAATTTCTTCTATGTACTTCATATTACTTTACGAGTCTCTATATAGAGAACTTATGAGCGTATGTTTGGAACAATTTCTCAGTATGTCCATATTATCCATAACATTTTATATTTGCTATACCTGAAGTCTTGATATTTACCTGTTCAATAAGTAGATCTTTTATTGTAACCTCGGTTAGAACATCGCCCTCTGTGTCACCCCAAAAGGTACGGCTGTGCTCCGTGATTCCTACGGATTCGACCAGCACACCATTCTCGTTATAAGCAAACCCATTTGCATACTTTGATCGATGCACCGCAACACCGTCATATCCTGCGCGAAGCAAGTGCGGGTCTTCTCTATCAACCTCATTCTGATTGGATGCAAACAGTCGTAATTTGAGAGCCAGTGTGACTACCAAGGTGCCTGATACGGCGACTATTATACGCAATACTACAGGTGCTCCTACACCGGCAGTTCCCTTACGTACCATGGAGATTTGTGCTCTCTAACTCGTGTCCCCTGTATACTGTACGTTTGAAGGGTTACACCGACATGGTTTGTTCAAGAACAGCAGTCCAGTAGTGGTTTAATAGGTATGCTTTCGCCTACATACGAGTCTACTTTGTATGTGCTTCACAAGAGCTATAAAAAAAAAAGGAAGAATTCCCAGACATGATGTCGATGCTTCTGTTTCAATTTAGATTTCAATTTAGACAGAGCCTTCTAAATCAGACAATTCAGTAGGCTATGGAATTCCGCAGTTTTGTTTTTAGTTTTAACTTGAAGGGGTCAGCTGGGAAGTCTGCTAGCCTATGTAAATATGTAAATCTAGCCAGTTGCCCGTTGCCGTGTAGCGAGATCTAAAAAAGGAGACCAAAAAATTAATAAAGTATCCATATAAATCCAGTAGTGTTGGAAACCACTTCGAATCTTCCATACTTTTTATTATTAAAAGAATCAGTACCAGCCCGTCAGCCCGAGGCCCAGGCCCCAGGCCCCAGGCCCGGCCCCACTACTATCATCTATATCATCGATTCATCAGGTTGGCCCGTCACATATATTTATTTTTGTTCAAGCTGGTAAGTGGTAGCCTGTGGGTATTTTTTGTTTTTTTTTAACAAAATAATACTTTGTACTGTACAGCATAGCCTCCTAAATTGTACATAAATACAGTATGTACCGTGGCCCTCTGAATTATACATATGTACAGTCATACCTATTAATATGTCCACCTCTTTATATGTCCAATTTCTATTTTGGCCAGCCCCCTATATATGAGTCAGGTCTTTTTAGGCCGGTCCTGCAGCCTGCTCTTGGAGGTTTCTCAGCTTGACGGTAGCTTTATCTGTAATACATACACTAGAGTACGTACTACAATAGATCCGGATGGGAGACACTTTTAGTGGTGAACTCTGTTGTGCGAAAGGATGCACTACAACGCACCCAGTGGGTGGTGTACACAAGTGTGCTCGTTGCGATCGAGGTATGCATGCCTTTTGTGGCGTGTATCTTGGTGAGGGGCATGGCTCAAATTCAATCGGTTACTGCCTGTCTACAGATAAATGCCAGCCACCGAATGACATGTGGGAGTCCGGTTTCAATAATAACAGACAGACAGAGCCAGACGAATTGACACTAAACGCACCTACAACGAGTGAACCAGGCGGATCGACACCACAGTCTACGCCCAAGCAGGACATATCGTCTGGTATGAAAGGAGTATCTAGTATGATAATAGATAAGCTCACTGTTGGTAAGAAGAAGACAACATATAAACAGAGTGTATTATCAAACAAGGTGAGCTCCAATACAACAAAAAGAATCAATCTAACAAACGAAGATGAAGGTGTTTTCGTGCGTACAATCTAGAAAGCGGAATATAGCTTAGACCTATCATGGAAAGACAACTATCGTAAGGATTTAGTGAAGGAGGCCGTGCGGGTAGCGCATGCATCATTCGGCGTCAGTATCAAAACAATAAGAAGGTTCATGGAGTCTGGAGATAAGATATTCAGTCACTCTTATGAGGTACATGCAAAAAAGAAATATCGAGAAAGGTGAGGAACACATCACGAGCTCGAGAAGCGTTTGATTGAGTTGGTCGGTAAGGTCAGAGAAGCTGGTTTTAGTGTAAGTCAGGGCTTGATCGTCACGGAAGGGAAGGAGTATTTAATGAGAGCGCCTAGAATACCTCCTGGTGTGACCCATACTCCCATAGGTTGGACCCCGACCCTGTTGGTATGAAACTGACCCAGACTTGTCTTACGTCTTTATATGTCCAAATATTTGCCAATCCCGAGAACTGGACATATAAAGAGGTATGACTGTACATATCTTTTTTACATATACAAAAAGTACTGTTTTATTTTTTATAAAAAAATAGAATCAGTTCCAGCCTTCCAGGCTCCTGTCTCCAGCTGATAAGTGTCACTACATTTATCTATTCGCCGACGCCCAACAGCCCGCACCTCAGTCGCAGCGGCCAAGTTTCATTACTGACCACGGGCACGGGACACGGGGCGCGCGCACGACACCTGCATCTCAGCATCTTACATCATGATGACTACAAAATTTAAGCACCATTCCAGAGCAAGTCTGAACTTGCCAATGGATGAGTCACCAAATCATACACCATTACCATAGCAATGATTATGCTACCAGGGTTTTGAGTTTTTGGGCTTTAGGAAACCAAATAAAATTCTGTAGAATTTTTAGGAGGCTATGAAAAAGCTCATTGAGCCTCTCCTTCTCCGGCTGGGAACGGATACAAGAGAGATATATGTAAATATAAATAGATCTATGAAATTCTTTTATTCTTAGGATACTACATTTTTGATATCTCGAAACGATGTGTACACGTATGCGTAAACCGGTTATGTCTATATCATAGCAAGGTAAAAACGGCGACCAAGCTTCTCAATCTGTAATAGTGTATGACAATTCAGTGCATCAAATTTTCTTGACACAGGAAAACGAACATATGGTTTCGGAAATAAAATTAAACAGTCAAAATACTTCGGGCACTTGTATATTTACATAAAGTTGGTTGTAAAATCTGTACACTGGCCAAGGTTTTTCGCGATACAAATATATGCTGACGTTCTAATTTCAATTCAAATGTAAATATTCCTGCATAGTCGCTTTAAAGCATCGCAACATCGACTCCATAGCTTTCTGGCCGTATCGTTTAATATATTTAGAATGACGATTGTATCAGTTCAGAAATTCTTGCACTTTATGACTCCATACTCGATCCAAAACACATGGTGGTATCAAATGGCCACGCTCGCCAAAATCTTTGCCGATTTAAATAATAGCATAAAACTCTAGTAAACACGCGTACTTTCGCGTTATTTTATTTTCTTTGTTTGTGCATACTATGCACTTTGAATGCATCCCGACTGACAGGACAACAGGTTTTCCCTTTCAGCGAAGATCATTTCAAATATATACGTGCCATCCACCAGAGTGGTCACTCAAAAGTATATCTAGTCTAAATACAAATGAAGGCGACAGTGATACCATGTCGTAATTGTTTGCGTGTAGCAGAAATATTGGGAAAGGATGGGTGGATGGGCGGTTGGCGGGGTGAGAGAGGAGGGGGAATGCAAGTACTGTTCAATTTAAATCTGGTCAAGTGTCGGAATCAAACTCGTCCGGTGTCAACCACCTACGCACTTTCGACTCCAGAAAAATCATATCTATTTGTTTAGCGAACTAACTCACACAATCCACTGGTCAGCAGAGACTATGTACATTATAATCCCCCGAAAAACTTCGATAGGGAAGCGTACCGCTGATCGCTGCATGGAGAGAAGACAGGTTTCGAACTGATGAGGAAGCTGAGAGTGGTGCGAGTAGTATACGATATTTCGCAACTTAGGGGTTCGTATTATGGGACGAAAGGTTATAGACTATCGAGAAAACACTACGTTCTGCGGTTCATAGATAGAAAAAACAATTGTGTATCGTGCATAAGGAAAGCTCGATATGGCAGGCAACCGTTAATACAGGATGCGAGTCATTGAGAAGTCGATTATAAAAGTATACAAGCATCATCAATATTAAGTAGGAACTTACTTTGATCGATGAACCTTCAGCACCTCACCGTAACGAGCTGCATTTACGACATCCTTAGTGGTGAGACTATTCGCTATCTGATGTAGCTGCGTGTAAAGCATCATCCATTGCATATAAACTATGCAGAAAACAGGTAGAATGAAAACAGGGTTAGTCAAAGTATTACACAAACACATGCTAAAAACTGAATAATCAAGAATGCGGAGTGAGTATAAAGGCGGAACACGGTAACAAAATCACTAAATATGTTGCGAACATACCTGCGCCTAATGCTACCGGCACAAACCACGTGGCCAACGGATGATGCTCATTCACCTCAAAAAGGCCTCCGCATATTCCCAGCTCCATTCCTGTGTACATCCTCAGCACATACACCACATACGAGACCACATACAAGACTCCCAAAAGACCCCCAAACAACAGAAAGTAGCAGAACACTACGTGGTTATGTCCGCCAATATCGGTGTTTAACCATGCGCAATGGTGGTCAAATTCAGGAACACACACATCGCAATCCGCACAATGAGTGGTGCCAGACTTCGGGTCCTTCATCACCTCGCACGTGACACAGAACCTGTCGTACTTGTCCTCAACGGTTTCTGCCTTGGCGGGTTCCACCATCATCTCATCACTGTTATCACTGGTACAATCGGCATCGCTCGAATTGCTATCCGCGTCTAGATTGATAGTGGAGTGCCCGTCATTGATCAACTGCACCCCGATGTTTGCTTGGCAGCTCTTGCTCTTGCTTGCGGAGCGGTCTCTTGTGAGGACCGGGTAAATGTCTAGTACCTGGTTGGCAATGACACCCTTAGGTAGCAACTCGTCTTGGCAGGAGGAGGGCAGGGGTGAACGTGTCACGCACGTGTAGAGACACCCGACGTATACTACATAAACCACCTGTTAATTGTGTGGGACGAATGATGAGAAAAGGATATATATATGTATATACATATGCCTAACGAAAACGAAGATATAAATATAAGACTAAAGGTGTATACGTACACTACATACACATTCCGTGAACGCCAACCAACGAATATACGATCCTATCAATGACCAGAATACCAAAAAAAAAATTGGTTCGAGAATATCACTTCCAGTGTGTTCGAACATCGCATACACCATCTGTAAGCGCTAATCAAAAGAGAAATTAATAGTAACCAGAATAAAACTACAGTGTGCACACACTATATACACCTGAAGACAAACACACACAACGAGCGAGTATACATGTTGTACTTGATGTGATAGCATAGGCAATGTGATCTAGAGGACCGCAGTATTGAACGACTTGAGATGCAGCTTGCACCACACACTTTCTTGTATTTACACAGTGGACGGGACTGAAACTATCTACTGTTTTCACGTACACCTGTGTCACGTCAACACTTAGATGGATTTACTACGTATACCACCAAAAAGAACGCATATGAAAATCGCATGCATCCACTGTCAACTTTGTTGCATATATGTGCAGCTCTGAACCTTGACTTTTAAATATAGGCATACGGCGGGAGTGTATCACATCCCTCGTACTCGCACAGCGAGTGGGATCGAATTGGCAAACAATATAGAATGCCGATCGCCTTGCTGTATATTATTAATTTTGCACAAGTACAGACTCCTGGCGAGTAACAGAATCTGGAACACAAACATACCACGACGATGGTGCTCAGAAGGCTGTCTTGAAAGGTTAACACAGGTAGTAACGTGCCTCCTAATGCGAGACCAGCAAGGCCCACGAGTGTGGTGACGGTTCGCAGTAGCGCAGCATTCGAGCCGCACGGCCGGTTATATGGCTGTACGAGTTTGTAGCCTATCCCCAGTATAGTTAGAACTGCAGATGAAAATGTGGATATTTAAATACCAAGTTTTGTTCTCGGAATTGAACTCTTTCTGAAGTCGATGTAAACTAAGAATATTTAGCGGAGAAAGAACAAAAATATTTATGATTTTGTATAGAAATACACATGCAAGAAAGAAGTACGAGATTAAATATACATGGATACACAGCAACCGGCATCTCCATGTATATTTGAGTAGCACAGAACGATACCACCGAAAGTAAAAAACCAAAGGGTGTACTAATTCAAATTCAAAATGAACGAACTTGAACAATCCAAACTCATACTCAAACGGACAATGGAAATGAAATTCGTATCGAAACTAACACAAAACTTACCAGCCGGCACTCTCAAGTATATATTTGTGTAACATAGAACGGCCGACGCAATCAACAAGGTCATGATAGGATAGAAATTCAAACAGGTCTTCTCCCGGGATGATGGAAGCGTTTGGGTTGAGATTTGGCTTTCATCGCTGCAATATTCGGCGGCATTTAATACATTGGTTGTGATAGCTTTATTCATCTCCTTTGTGACGGACTCCTGTAAGATTTAAAACACACACGTGACAGATAGAAGTGATTAGATTTAAGAATTGGCCCATTGTTGGGCATATCAAGAAATTGCAAGGCTATGGATACTCCACGATGCGAAACGCAACTCGAAAGCTCTCAAAAAGGATCACTGCACTTCAACACCTTACCTACCAGCAGATCCGTATATAGCTATACTCAGCACACACACCAACAGGAAACAGAAAACCTGTTTGATGATGAACGGTTGTTGAACATTCCCTCAGGTGCCTCAATTTGCCTCCGCAACAAACACTTCACAGCCCAATGGCTTACTTGTGTGTATACATACACACATACACCCAACGCAAGTCAAACCCTTGTCTATTCGCCGACGTACATATCCGGATAGCTTCCTCGTGTATTGACTACACGTCCATGCCCAAAGTTAGTCACGTACCTGTTTATTCACCCACACATGTGGATCCTTCCCGGCCGTGTCGCAGCTGCTAAGTAAGCCCAAGTCTTCCCTCAACAAAACCCGGCACACATCCGGATAGCAGTGATACGCGGCTATGTGCAGCGCTGTGCGTCCGTCGCTGGTCTTGGCATTGACATGCACACGCTCGTGTCGTAAGAGGTACCGAACTGTCAGCACGTGGCCCATTTCCGCGGCACAGTGCAGCAGTGTACGCCCGTTGCGGTCGAGGTCGTGGAAGGGGTGGTTGTGTTCTGTGTGCAGGTAGTGCATCACTTTGACCTGGAATAAGGCGTTGGTTTATAACGATTGTGGGTGCAGAAATGATGAGTATCGCAACTGTGTGGTTTCAGATAAGCAAGAGGTTTGGGATGGGCCCTTTTGAGCTTGATTGCACATACGAGAGTTGCAGACGCACAGAGGAAATTATCGGTCTTGTTTTATTGTGACAAGTTCCAATTTAAATTTGTATATGTGCTTCGTACACGACTCAAGCGAAAAGTGACGCGACTAAATTTTTTTTTTTTAATGTTTATTGTTCAAACACATGCAGACAGACTACTGCAGCCAACAAGAGGATTCGAAAAAGATACATTACATACAATCATGACAAGCCCAACGACTTATACAGAAACACTTTTTCCTTGGTGCTGCGGTTAAGTGATATTTAAACGAGAACGTGAAGTGGAACATCACGCGTACAACTACAGCTTACATATATGGAGTTCGATTATAAAGTTAAGTGATAATAGTATTGAATGATCATTGTGAATTTACCGGCACGCAAGCTTTCATTTTGAATCGTTTGCTTGCTGCATAATTCATATTTACGATACGATGCATACGTACGTGTATATAAAATGTAGCTAAACCTCTTTAGTACCTTCAAATACATGCGATCTGGGTCTCAATATGATTGTACGTACGTATTTATCTAGGTTTGTATTCTGTCTGCTACAGAATTATCTATTATACGTGCCAAAGCACTCATGACAATGTGTTCCATCTCGTGCATATCAATCAATATAGCAGGAGGTACAACTAAACCGAGTGTATGACCAGTTCCAGGTATATATAACTAGGCAAATGAATCATCTCAACTACAAATGAAATTTTATGTATTGGCCTGGTCTATAGTTATGTCCAACACTGACACGCTTGCGTGTTTGCAAACATATTATCATTGAGACCCCTGTGAATAATATGCATCAGATACATCAACTAACTCAATATACACAATGATTCGCGCTACGTTCCAACAAAAGTAAACGCCTGGTATATTGGCAAACGATCCTACCATTACAATTGCTATTTAGGAATACATTGCGATTAACTTCTACATCATACAACAGTAGTCCTAGAAAACTCACCTGTCCCCGCAGCGCCGCATGCATCATGGGTGTCATGCCCCTCACATCGGCGACTCTCAACAAATCCATACCCGCATACTTACTACTATAGTCCCACTTGATGTAGTTATTCAACATGCCCATCATATCTATCCTCCCTATCTGGCTGAGCACGTGAAAAACACCCTCTCCCGCGTTGTTACACATCGACATGTCCGCACCGTTGCCTAGTAACAACCGGGCCAGTTGTAGATTGCCGCTAACACACGCATACAGCAGTGGCGTCTGGCCATGCCATCCCTTCTTGTTCACACTGGGTGGTGCTCCTGAAAGAATCTCTCTATGAATGTGTGCTTCTACCAACGTACAAGCATCTGGCTTGCGGATCAGATCGACTATATCCGTAGTGGGAGGTGAAGGTGTAGAGTGTGTTCTCTGAGCAAGTGTGTGTGTGTGTGACCCGTGAGTGTGCACATGTCCGTGATTGGATCCGTGGTCTCCCTTCGAAGAAATAGAAACACTTTGCTTACGCCCAAAGTGATGTGTGGCATTGTTATTCTGGTGGTTCCTGGGCGATTGTGAGCGTAGAGCATGGTGTGCGACGTCTGCGTGAGACGCTACTGAGGTTGTATGGCTCATATTCTTGTGACTTTGCGACTGCTTCTGATCTGCAAATGACAGCGGATTCCTCAGCAAGGTTAACCCCAGCCCAGGTACCACGGGCAGAGTGTGCCTATGTTCAAGTTCCCTAGCCATTGTATGTTGCTCTAAATAGAGGGATCAATTCAATACAACGGCTGACACACCCCACAGGGCCAGATCTACTATCTATATCGAGGCATATATATATATATATATATATATACAAATGTATATATATATATATATGTATATATATGTATATATATATGTATATATATATATATATATATATATATATATATATATATATATATATATATATATATATATATATATATATATATGTATATATATATGTATATATATATATATATATATATATATATAAATATCTTAAGGATTTATATATTTATTTTTGTAGACATGTACGTACAACCGCGAAGCAGATGTGTATATGCATGTAATTATATATGTATACATGTATGTATGTAACTATGTATTTATTGTATACAGGATTGTCCAAACTTTGCCACAAGAATACGTACGTACGTACTTTGGCTTTGCGTACTTTCAACTTTTATGCATTTTTTATCATTTTGTGCGAACTTTTTAAATTTTTCTAAAACATAAAAATCTCAGAATGAGCACTTTTCACTCTTTTTTTTAGCCTTTTCTCGTGCAGACGACTTTTGGGGACAGATTATTAGATGTGATGTTGCTTTATTTAGTTTGTACCCTATCCACATTTGAATTAATGGCCATGCTTTAGCTTTATACTAACTTCTATTGGGGGAACGATGGACATCGTCCATAGCAAATTAGCAATCAGGACAAACTGTACTATGTACTGTGAAAGACTGAATTGGATTGTAGACTGTGAGTGTGGACTGTGGAGTATAGACTGTGGAACTGTCGACTGTGGCAGTGTGGAGTGTGGAGCTATGTATGTGCCTGGGTGCCGGCCCGCCGGGTGGTCACTGGTCACACTCCTGGGTCAGATTGTCGGCGTCAGACTCTCAGAGGCCTGCAGTCCAAGCCGTCTCTAGTAGGCTCCAGAGCCCAGGCCCGCCTCCAGCCTCCGCCCTGTGCAGGCTGCGAGGGCGTTGAAAAGTTTGGACTTCATCAGTCGTGCGGGCTCGTGTAGAATGTATTTTGATATCCCTGTGGGCTGCGGCCTGTGCTCATTTGACGATATTTATTTTAAATCACATGATCCCACCCATTGCGTGTTGCACGGTCGGACGAAGGACGGTTTTGCCTATCATCTACTGATGTAGGTTGGTCCGTCACAGGCATAAATATAGTCCTGTATTGACGGGTACGACGTGACACAGCCTACTAGAGAGAGTTGCGTTCAAAACTTTTATAATCGTAGAAGCTGTGAAATGGCGATTGCTTTCTGTCATACTTCTTGGCTATGCAGTATATCGTCGGCGCTTGATAAGGTCTCGTCTACTCTTTTCGTAAGTCCATGTGCTTTCATATTAGCTTTTATTATACGCTGTAGTACACATGGCATCCTCGTCCATCACTCTCACGTCTACCAGTATAGCGATTGATAAAGCTTAAACTTTTTTACCTCGGGGCATTCAACATAAAGTTTACTAAACCTGCAGTTTACTAAACCTGATGTGAGGTGCTTAAAGCTCTCAAGAATGAAAAACATCGAATTGTGTTTATTTTGATGATAAACAAAAGTCACGTGAGCGGTATTTCAACACTTAATACTGTCTGAGAGTACACGGAGCGGGTTTTCACAAAGCGTATAAATTGCCTGCCTTCTCGTTGCAAAGCAACAGATTGTGTGCTCTGTGTTATGTATTTATTGATATTCCACTTGAACTAGGAAAGTTGATGTGCGTCACCCGATGGTTTGTAAGCTCCCCGTACAGTATCTGGTAAAAGAAAATAAAAGTGCATATAATCTCCGCGTATAGTATCTTGTCAGCGAAAATTATGTAAACATGACCCTTATTCCCTCCTTGATCCTGCAGAATAGGACCTATGTTCGACTTTGAAGACACATTCCAACAACTAAATACCACTTGATACTTGACTACTAAAATCTAGTGTGTACCGATAAACGAAACGTCTCGCGATAATGAGAGTGAAGAATCATCATTACTTAGAAAGTGTGATGCGAATATTTTAATGGCAAAATGTTATGAGTACAATGAAGCCTTGTCCGATCGACATATATATTTGGATATGTTTATTTATTTATTACTTAGCGACCGACGCTTCATAATCTTTCATAATCTTAACGGCCTCCGCAACCTTGGGCAGAGCCTGGATTCGTTCATGGTGCTTGATTAATGCTTCAGGAATTTCGGTGTTCAAACCGATGAAGTATGACCAAGACGTGATCACAGATGCATAGATATCCGCAATCGTGAAAGTGTTCCCAACCATGTATTCATTCTTGCCGCCCTCCAGGTCTGCATGAGTATGTGGAGTGGTTCGCTTTGTGATATTGTATACATTTTTCAGCCTATGTCACGAGTCCACTATTGTTGGGCTCATATAAAACTTATGCCCCTATATTTGATTATGAAACATATATATATATATACATATGTATATATATATATATTATAGGTTCTATATATATATATATATATATATATATATCTGTGAAAATATAAATATATAAATATATATATATTTATATCTATATACATATATATGTACATTTATGATAAATATAATTATATATAAATAAAAATATATAATATATATATATATATATATATATATGTATGTGTGTGTATGTGTGTGTTTGATTGCGTATTCATAAAGCATTGATGCCAATACAAATGTATATATGCGCATATAAAATATATTCATACACGTTACAGTTATGCATACATGATTGTGCACACCTATATCTACCTGTATTTCTATTTTCACCTATGTATACCTGTATTCTACTGTATATTTGCAACATAAATAAAAAATCTATATACTGTTCATAAAATATCTTGTATATATGTTTGATTATGAAACATATATATATATATATATATTATATACATATATATATACATATATATATGCATATATATATATATATATATATACTTTATAGTATAAATATATATATAATTATATATATATATATATATATATATATGTGTGTGTGTGTATGTGTGTGTTTGATTGCGTATCCATAAAGCATTGATGATAAATTCATGAAGCATTGATGGAAATACAAATGTATATATGCGCATACACATATATACTTATTCGTACACGTTACAGTTATGCAAAGAAATACATACATGATTGTGTACACCTATATCTACCTGTATATCTATTTTCACCCCTGTATACCTGTATATTACTGTATATTTGCAACATAAATGATACTGTTCATAATACATCTTGTATATACATATATATACGTCAATACAGGTTGTCATATACCCCAGCTTCTTATCTTCACAATCAACCATCAAGTACTGTCGGACGAAGGCACTTATATATTTTCATGTGTCATGAAATACAACCTCACCAAGCATGTATTTCTCAATTACAGTCCTTATCAGACAAGACTTATATTTTTCAAATCAAAGACAATTCAAACTTACAAAAATCGATGAAGAAGTTGGCTTGTTTCGCTAAGTTGGCCACAGCCTTCTCCCGAGCTGCGCCCTCTGGTTTCCCGAAGAACGCCCCAACTCCCTTGTGCCATTCTGAGGCCAGGAACCCTAGTGCGTTCATAGTGGCTGTCTCATCTTCTCCCAGAAGTCCTCCGTTCTTACCAATGTAGTATAGCGTGCCCACGTTCTCGTTCAGGTTCTTTTTTCCATCTTCGAATGTTATAACCGGCACGTTTCCCTTAGGGTTGATCTCGAAATAGTCCTCTCCTGTCGCAGCCAGCTTGTGTGTTTGGATGTTTACCAGTACATTCTCGTCGAATTTAACTCTGTGCACAGATAATATGTTAACAATACAGCGTTACAAATGGAGTAGTCGCAAGTAGAATACAGCCACGTATTCCGTAGACAAAGGTGCAGTACAGATTATACAAGGGCGAAATATACTGGGGCAAAATATTTAACAAAACAAATCGACCATTGAGTGTGTGCACATGACTTTGCGCACAGGCCTATTGAACCTAGTGAAAATGAACATACCCTCCAACATGGGCTGCGATGTAGTTCGCACCTCCACATGATAAGGTTGAGTAGTATAGCTTAGGCATATTGTACGTCTGCAGTTTGGGTATGATGGTTCCAAAGTAGATATGCTCAATCAGTTCAGCTTGTGCTACCTTTTTATAGCAGATTATCAAGAAGTCAGTGTAAAATTTACAAAACCGTCCTTCTGGAAAAGAAATAGGGAAACTGGAAACAGGCCTGTCTGTAGAGAGCGGCTGAGCCTTGGAATATCGTATCAGCCCATAGTCCCATACTCCCCAAAGGGCCCTTCACGAGAGAATGTAAACAAAAAAAAGAAGGGTATTGTGCGTACACAACACATTCATACATACAACAAAATATAAACAACCCTAATATAACCCTAATATAACTCTAATATGGTTTGTACACCTAGTGACCTAGTCAATTAGACTATTTTCACCCAATCGAAAGTTAATAAGAATTCATGTTATTTCATTCGCTTATGATATTGCATCCGGTAGTTTGTATCAGCTCATAGTCTCATATGTATTTAATTACTATTTATTTATAAATACTGTGTATCATTTTTTTTAAACATATCCATAGGCCCATGAACGTACATTTTTTTTAAAACAAACAAACCAATTTAAAAAAACGTTAAATACACACGAAAAAACCCCCCCCAAAAATATGCGATAGCCTTTGTAAATATTTTAAAAATAACCTCTTTTTGATTTTAAAATTTGTTCGTTTTTTTTTTAAACAATTATTTCTTTTTTGTTGAAAACAAAACAAAACAAATAAAACCAATCAAGAAGCAAATGGACATGGATGCAAGCCAAGCTGTCCCACATAACTTGACACAAGACACAAGGACTGTTTTACAGTTTAATTTTATTTAACAAAAAGGAAAAATGTATTTCGAAATAGGAACATGTCTGATTGTCCGGCTGTCCGCTTGAATAGGTATATATTGCTTTTTGTATTTACAAAATGATGATGATTAGGTGCACATCAAGCAACAATCAACACAGCAACAGGCCATCGGGGAGCAAGGGTTCAGGAAAATGTCAAAATAAATGCATATATAGCCTCCATTTTTTCTTCTTCTACAAATATAAAGAACTTTCACCACGATTTATCTATTTTATATAAATATATAATATGTAAATAAATTTTCATAGCCTTCTATAAAATTGAACAAAATTTAAAAAAAAACATACTGTACTGTACAGTGTACACACTATTTAGTATTTCCACCGTAAATAAATACATACTATTTACACACTGTACAGTAATTATATATATATATATATATATATATATATATATATATATATATATATATATATATATATATTTATATTTTTAAAAACAAGTAACAACTGGGGGTTTTTGTTTTTAAAAATAGACTAGAAAAACTATTCATATGTATACATAAATACTATGCCACAATAATTATGGCCCCGTAGTCTGTAGTGTATCTACTAGAAATTGTCGGTGGATAAAAATGGATGTCATGGAAGAAAAAATCATTTCTGAGCGACAATTCCAGAGATGGTAAATATGTACTAAATATGTACATATTTTTCAGTCCTGCCGCCGAATTTGAGTGAAATTTCAAGCGGAAAGTTCACTGACAAAATATTTTTTAAAATAAAATAATGAAAGCTTTTTGTTTATACGCTCGAAGTTTCAAAGTTGGGCTGTTGGACTTTGTAAATTTGTGCTATGTAAACACCCTCTGAGAAAACATAGACTGCTACTACAGATAGTGAAGCGGGTGTGCCCTGCAACGTTGACAGTTGAGGAGATGTGATAAAGTGTCAAGACGCGTTAGCCTGCAACACGTGGAAATGTTCTTTGCAGCCTATAACATTTTACCTATCAACTGGAATGTACGTATGCCTTCTCAGATTTGTACTGAAGCCTCTTCATGTGCACCTGTTTTATCGACGTGGACGCGGTAGACGAAGAGTGATGGGTCCTCGAAATTTCTATCTGACAGTACAAAAACAAATTCTCTCGCATATCAGATTTTAAAAAGTGTGCAATCTGAAATCTCGCAGATCAGAATTTGTGTTTGAACTGAATTCTCGCACACGACACGAAATTATGTAAAAGCGATGGATACTGTATTTATAATGCGATACGCGGGGTATATTCACTCACCGTTAAACTATTCCTAAAGAGTTAGTCTGGCTTCTAGAGCTATGATATATCCATTGTCGGCGACGTAAAGCAAACTAATGCGCACGAACGATTGCCTGTATTTTACAAGATTTCATTGTGTTCTAAAATCCATTGGGGTGTAAGAAGTTACACATGTTACACATATGTAAGTAAGGAAGCCGCATGATTTTTTTTACTCCAATACTTCAGTCTCGCTACGCTGCCTCAATAGATGACTTCGATTCGTCGCGACTACTACTTGATACTTGAAGGCTCCAAAGGATTGCTCTGGACTAAGAAGCACCTAAAGTGATATTACGGTGAAGTAGTGTATCAAACCTCGCTCCAATTTCATATGTAGTATATACATGAATTTATTTTTGTGTCATTCTAATGTTGTCCCTGTCTCTGCCTGGGGGCACTGCGCAATACATTGTCCACGCGGAGAATCATCTCTGCAGCTTCTGTCGCACTCATTAAGATCTGTTGTTTCGCTTTAAATGATTCCGTAACACCAAGTTTCTTCACGTCATCGATCTTTCCTTCATACATATCTATGGCCATACAGGAGAGGAGAAGACCAGAATGAGCACGCAAGCAAATATGGAGTATAGACATCAACCTGTTCACTTGGATACGCGTACACAGGGTCGAATAATCACACAAAGAATTCGTACAGGTATATCCAGTGTAGCTACGCTCAATTCTGAGATAAAAGGGAAGCATACACCTGCTGCAAAATAACATCAGGTCCTTAAAACGAAATGACAGAATTTTGTTACTAGCTTCCGTGAAATTATTGCGGCATCGAAGTAGACATTGAAATAACTCCCTCGATATACGAGCCGTACGAACATCTGACCCCGTAGGCAACGGGCGCAAAGCAAAAAACGATACAATGGTCCCGACGAACACACTCCACCATTGTGACGTAAGTTTGCGAGGAAAAACAAAGTGCGTCCATAGCAATATCACAAATACACTCAAGACTACTAAAGCAGCTATGACTGACTGACTCGCGCAACATTATAGCACAAAAGAATTCATACTACGCGATATTACATACAAGCTCATAGTACGGCAGCACATACCTGCAGATATACACTACAGGAGCAGATACATACAGAATTACACTACAGCAGTAGATACATACTTAAGCCAGCGGTCTTTTGTCCAGCAGTGTGCGCGGCACGTAATTGGGCGACGAGCTCCACGCTGTCATAACCGGCGTTATCGGCGATGATGGTAGGTAGCTGTCGCAGAGCACGTGCAAACGATTCAATTGCGATAGACTCCTTTCCTGGAGTGGCTGCGGCTAGCTTCTCCACTGCGTTTGCCATGGCCATCTCCGAACAGCCTTATGTGGTATGGTCGAGTGAAAAATGGTGAGTATGTGCCTTTTTCCCCGCATGGAATGATTATGGTGAACTATAAGCGTGATCTACAGGCCCATATATATGATGTATACATATTTCATACAAAAAGGTGTGGCTATTTGAAACATTCATGAGAGACGACTGGTATAAGAACGACATACGATCAGAAACCCCAGAACTAAAACCGCCGATCGAGCTGTACGCTATTGCAAACATGGTGAAGCTCAGACACGTGGAATACTATACATAACATTCCGCAAGTATATTCGTGGCACATGCACACAGATTCGTGCACAGCGCACTGTTGTCTCTTATCCAGAATATGAGTACAAATCAACGCTCTTTACACATGCATAAATGATGTATATATAGCATCTACGGTGTACCGAGTTGTTGCGGGAAATATGCAACATAGATATCCATAAATAATGTATAAGTTGTTGTTACTTCGCTTCCGTAAAATTGAGCGATAGCAAAGTAGACATTGAAACAACTCCCTTGATCTACGAACCGTACGAACATCCCAACCCACCAGTTATGGGCGCGATGCAAAAAACGATTCGATGAAACTTGTCTGTGATACAAGCTATGGTTGCATGATCCCACGCAAATCAACATCTACCTTATGTCCTCGTCGTATCGGCACATTCAAAGAAACCATAAGCTAAACAATACAGGATTTAAGGTGAACGATCATCGTACACCAAATACGATCGTAGAATTAGATCGGTGTACAGACACAAAGTGCTGTGCGGTTCGCCGCATCAATAAAGCAATCATGTGATAATCTGGCAACAGAATTCAACACATGATGTGTATAAATAGATGTCTCACCGCCTCCAAGTCCATGGAACTTCCGATTTCTTTTTCTTTTTCAAATCTATACAGCGTATACACATCCAAACATATATCTACCTACCTCCACCGTACACGATCTTGGGCTCGGCAACGGTTTGTGAAAGCACACACAGCGCATCGTGTAGAGACCTGTCACACTCGTCCAGAATCTGTTTGGTTGCGCCTCTGATGACAATCGTGCAGGCCTCCCCCAGGGCTACGCCGGAGAAGTGCAGGAGTCTGTCCTCGCCAATAATAATCTCTTCAATCAAATCACATTGTCCTAGATTCACCAGCTCTGGGTGGTCAAAGGTCGATACAATCTCCCCACCAGTCACCAGTGCCAACCGCTCGACGCCCTCAAAGTCGGCCAACTCCACAGCCATAATACCCGCGTCCGCGAACAGTTGCTCAGGGTAGTTGTAGATAATATTACGGTTGATAAAGCAGTTGATGCCATGTGCGACAATCTTATCTACCTTAGCCTTCATTTTTTCCTTCTCGGCCACTTCGATCTCTGCTACCTTGGCTGTGGCGTCGACGCGCACCTTGGCACCAAAGACCTGGTGAGAAGCACAATTGTGTATTGTTAGACAGATACTAAAAATGTGCACAGGGAAATATATCTGGAAATGTGTACAAGACGGTTGATCATCGAGTATATAAAAAGTGCATCTTTGCGATAGTCTAATGGGAATGCTTAGGTGACATCCGACAAGGTATGAGTGGCGACTGTTCATCTTCAACATATACATCAGGAATCCCGAGACTATAGTCGCGTATTGTGAACTACACTGACATTTACACGCTTAGCATGCACTGCAATGCATTTTTTCGGTATACCATCACATACACTCTAAAACCTGCTACATATATATAAGTCCAACACACTCCATCCAAACTGGACGAAGTGCTATCATACACAACACACACCTTGATTTTATCTGTATCCATAGGTGTGTTAGCCACCATAATTTTTGCGTTCTCAATACGTTTGGGTTGGTTGACACCGATCTTCTTGTCCAGAATGAAGCCCTCATCCAAGTAGGAATCGGCGAGTGAGCCACCCAACTTCTTGATCAAATGAATAGAGTCAATATTTGTATTGCCCTTGAGGCGCATCACGGCGTTCACGGCCAGTGTGGCAAAGTGGTCCTTGTCCTGAAGTTTCATGAGTGTTCGTTGCGATTAGTACTCTGCATATATATGTCTGTATGTTTCCAGAGTGCTTGATGTAGATAGTTGTCAGCATTAGTATGGAAGTATGACTTTTATTCCAGGCTATTCGTTGCACATAGTAATCAATATGAAAGTGTGGCTAAGCAAGGCCAAGGTTTTCGGACTGGAAATGCTTTTGAGTTGGACCATTTTGTACAGCAGTGAAGTTGAGACACTGGATCCAAGTAAATGCAAACCATAACAGCAGAGCACGAAAGAAAAAAACACACACTTGTGATATAAGTATAAATTCACAGTATATGCATGGAACACGCAATTTTGATATGCATATACACGCTCGCGCCTTGTACAGGTATACAGATACGCACCTGGTACACAATCTTTGAACTTAAGGTAGTTCTGGCGATATTCATCAGATCCTCTCGGAAAAGTTCAGTATCTCCACTGTGGTCATCAGAAGACTGTAATAGTGCTTCACGTGCACAGTTCATGGCCTTTCTCCAACCAGCAATAATAGTCTGGGGGTGCATTTTAGTGGCCACTAGTTTCTCTGCTTCGCGCAGCAACTCAGACGCAAGTACCACTACGGAGGTGGTGCCGTCACCTACATCGTCATCCTGTGTCTTTGAGATTTCTGTAATGATAAAGAGATATTGAATAAACGTTAAATATGTTTTGCGGTAGTGACAGCACTCTACAACAGTGTATAGAGAGGGGGGGGGGTTGGCACCTAAAATCGTTCTGTTTGCAGCTAGCCGAGATTGAATAGTCTATTTGTGAGTTGGTGTGGAGCGATTCTAAAATATCACAAGCAAACATATATACACAGAAGAGTGTGTGCCCTTTGGTTGTATACTGCCATGTAACTACTAAAAAAAGGCCACCGACGAACATGTGCTTAAACATTACAAACGAGATGTACTCAGATTTGTACGTAGTGGATCAAATTGCTTGACATTGATACAAGTGACCAACCCTTGTAAACCACGAGCCGGTGTTGGATACTATAGCGTATAATCGAATTAACAGAACATCAACGGGCAGCAATTCTAAGATTGGAGAGGACAAGAATATTCGAATCTTTGTCAGAGCTGGAAAATACAATCCGCAAAAGTAATGGATGTACATCGTTTTCATGTTTCAATGCGGCACTCACGATCTTGAATGCGCAAATGCAAACTTAATTTCATATTTCTACATGCATCCATTATTTCACCCAAAAAAAGACAGCTGCGCACACACATCTACAAGTACTCAAGCAGCGGACGGCAAATAGCTATTTAGAAACACAAATCACCACCTATGTATATTCGTATACAATCTTATTGCTTTCGAGATAAACATACCCACAAGAATCTTGGCAGCTGGGTTATCCAAGCCGATACTCTTCAGGATGGTGGCACCATCATTTGTGACCTGGATTGAACCCTTACTGTCCAATTCTCGTTGTGACTGCAGGATCTTGTCCATACCCTTGGGTCCTAGTGTACTTTTGACAAGGTCACCAATAGCGATAGCGCCAACAAATGATGACATGCGTGCCTCCTCAGACTTCTCCTCGGCAGACCCTTCATTGAAGATGCTTACTGGTTGTAGAACCGACTGGAATACAGAATACAAAGGTGAATATCAATATCAGATAGAAATGCACGTATCGCCTAAATAGACCCGAGATGAAACTCAACAATATGTATATACATACATATACATATATGTGTGTGTTTTCATAGTTGTTTGTTTGGCTTTCTAAAATACAAGCAATATATATATATATATGTGTGTGTGTTTTCATAGTTGTTTGTTTGGCTTTCTAAAATACAAGCTACATTCTGTGCGTGTAGCTGCTAAGTTCGTTGTCGGGTGCCGTCACTCCGAGGCGAGTGGTGATGTGATGTTAGTGAACACGTACTTTTGTGCCAGTACCTGTGCGGGTATGCTACTACCTATTAGATCTGGCTCTATTGAATGTACGCTGTCGGTGTCTTATTAGTAGACCAACCTATAACGGTATGTTTGTACAGGCAACTACGCGTGTGTCTGTGAGTGGTGACCCATCACCACACCTAGCTTGGAATGCAGTGGAGAAAACTGTCACCCTTGCTCGTAATTGGTGTTGGAGAAAGTAGGAATGAAAAGGGCGATTTGGGTGGGAGTAGAAGGGGGAAAAGAATGAGAGACAGTGCACTTCCTATCGCTATTCTATAGTACGACTTTTGAACTGACGACAAGAACATGGAGTAGAACAGATGGACTTTTACACAACCATTTAGTCACTGATGTAGTCATTAAGTGATTTAATCTGTGACACACGATTGTATATTAAAACACCTGGGCGTCCTCCCTGTTCCATAACAATATAGAAATATGTGAACCACTCTGTCATATATATATATATATATAGATATATATATATATAAACATGGATATATGTGTATTTGTGTTTGAAACATATATATATATATATATATATGTGTGTGTGTGTATATGTGTGAGAGTGTATACACTATATTTATAAATATATATACAAATATATACACATATATATAAGCATATATATATATATATATATACTATATATATACTATATATATATATATGCATATATATATATATATATATATATATATGATATAAATATATAAATATATCATGTATGTATATGTATATATATATATGCATGTATATATATATATATATATGTGTGTGTGTGTACATGTATGTATATATATATATGTCTATATATATATATATATGTCTATATATATATACATACATATATATACATATACACACACACACATATATATTTATAATACATATATATATATGTATAAATATGAGCGTGTTTGCCTGTGTGTCTGAGTTTATACATTTATATACATACACATATATATATGCATGCATATGCATGTATATAAATATATTCAAATATATTTATGTATACATCTATAAATATATATTTGTATGATATATATATATATATATATATATGTGCATATATTATTATCAATACTATCATAATAAAAGTATATATATTATATATATATATATATATATATATATATATATATGAGTGTGAGCGTGTTTGTGCGTTTGTGTGTGTGTATTGACATATTGTATATATTGACATATTGTATATATATATATATATATGTGTGTGTGTGTGTGTGTACACATACGTACCTAAACATACACTCACGTATACACATTGACTGGCTACTATCGGTTGTGTACAATAAACAATGTGCAAGTGCTGATTGTACGCTGATTATACGAGAACCCCACTGGTGGTGATGCAAGGTTGACCTCAAAAGCGCAGTCATCACATACACACCATGTTGATGTATTCTACTTCAAAGCCCGTATGTAACGAGCGAATTTGTCTATTGTTTACAACTAAGTACGTGGTGTTATCAATCGTTTATCTAAGCGATGTTGTCACAACTTGACACCATGAAAGGCTACATGTATGGTTTTGAGGTTTTCGAACCTCATGGTGCAATTACCTACAAAATTTGATACTTTTGGCGGCCTTTCAAAACAACTTGGTTTATCGGTAGACGGTAGCCTCTGTCCGTAGGTCTATGATTCGATGGGGTCATTTCTATGTACACTTTGCAGATAGTCAGTTTTTCTTCTGTCTTATGACTCATATCTGACATGGTTTCTGATAATTTCGTCTGGAATGTCGTATACTGTTTTTGATTAGGTACTGAATCATCATGAAAACTCTCTATTGGCTGGATGCTAAAGCGAATTGAGCCTTACTCTATGTACATGAAAAATCAAAAACCGGGACAATCGATAAACAATTTTATTCAAAAAACATAGATACAATTTTTTTAAATGTTCGCAACAGGCCAACTCTCCCAACTGCAGCGGGTATATATTTAACCGATAATCACACATAATAAACACCCTGATGTATTTACATATTGTAAACATTGACACTGTCGTTATCTGTCATGTTTTGTACTGGCTATCATCACATGCAGACTGCAGCAATAGACTACTCTGTGAGAATCTCTCTTTCAGGCTTAAGCATTGTAAGGCGTTGAGTTATAAAGGCTGATTGACATCTTGAGTGAGGTATTTCCATATAACGGACTGACACTAGGTTGATTGAGCTCTCTATTGTGGCTTCCGAGTGTTTATAATCAGTTCACCTGTTAAGTTCTAGTACGAACCTGGTTCGAAGGTGGAAGTTGGTATCCAATCTGTACTTGGATTGATTGATTACGATCACTGAGAAGAAATTTTGTTCAAAAGACTTCTTTTACATATTCATATAGATCATTTTTATAGGTAAACAAACTCCTATTTACACACTTTTTTAGATGCATGCATAGTCTAAGAACACTCTAACC